GAGAGGGGTGGAGAAAGAACAAGGAATACCATTCAACAAATTAAGGTGAAAATAACAAAGAGATTTAAATAAATCTCATTGTTATAGATGACTAGATATAAATGAGGTATAAGAAAATACAGTGAATTATATAAGAAAATATGGAAGTTCTAGATATAAATCCAATTTGAGGTGCTTACTAAACAGCATCTACGGTCACAGCCGAGAAAATGCAATCCATCCAAGTGGAAACATTATACTCCCATCACACTATACTGGCCCTTATATATAATTGGAAATGCATTCAATATCTTTAATGACACAGCAAAAGTCAACAATAATCTAATGTTAGGAGAGAATAAGAGAGGAGAGTAATATCACAATATTGATTTATACGTCGAAAAGAGAAGAACAGAACAACCTCAAAAGGTGTCCACATTTGAGATCATTGGGAAAGAAAAGAGGCGAACTGGTTCAATGTCTACTTTACCTACTTGTCGAAGTAGACCATTCTCCTAATCACCCCACAATCTAAGCCAAATTGATTTGGAACAAACATGGAGGAGCATGCCATTTAGACCTGCCCTATCCATTCATATTCATGGTAGCAAATATGAGCGAGATGGCGGAAGAAAAGGTGGTAAAAGTCCTGTCCTATGCACAGGGGTCAATCAAAAGCTTTTTTGCACAAAGAAGATGCTGCCAAGAAACTTCAATTCTGTTCACATTTTCGGCGTGTTGATAACCACCTTTGCCTTGGTCATCCTTGAGGACGCCCCAATCAAGCTAAGAATGAAGTTGACCATAGCTGAGATCAATAAACGGAGTAGATAAATTCTACTCTGTTGATTACGTACTACCAAAGGATTGATTGGTGCCATTTTGGGAAAGTGGTGTAACATATAAAAATTGATAGCCCTATATGCAACTTCTCGAATTTGACATGATCCAACTATGAAGGAGTAGACTTGGGAATGTATTGTAAGTTTTTCTCTTCCGCTAAATCTTGTATTACCAGATACTGAACTGGAAAAGCAAACTCCATTTCAATCTCGTATCTCATCAAAATCAAATAATAGAAAATTAGGGGGTGTTTGACACCCATTTTAATAGAAAAATGTGTTTTTGAATAGTGATTGATAGAAAAATATGTGGTTAAAAAGTAAGAAGAATTTTTAGGTTTATGTGTAATATTATTTTATTGATAGAATGTGTGGTTGAAATGAAGAAAGAGAAAAAAAATTAGAATGAGAATGAGAAAAAAATGGGTGCCAAACGGGGGCTAAACTAGCTTCTCTTCATATTTTATTTTCTTCACTAGTAAAATCTTCCATCTCTTCAAATCAAAAAACCATAGGACGTGTGTTTTATTTTAGTGCAGGGGCAGACCGGGGGTGGCCTAGGGGGTCACGTGACCCCTAGATTATTATTATTATTATTATTATTATTATTATTTTTGTTTAAAAATAGGAAAAGAGAAAAACTGAAATTCAAACACTCATATCTCCTCTCCTCTCTCCCACGGCAGTCGGCACTCTCTCCCGGTCTCCCGCACTAGTGACACCACTCTCCCACACCTCCCTGTCTCCCATGGCGAATTTTTTTAGTATTTACACATATCAACAAAGTTTTTATTTATTTATTTAACTAAAATTTCACCCAAGTAAATTAAGGATTTTTTCATATAATAAAATGGATACACCAAAAAGAAAGGCCAATTAAATCAACCCATAATTTGACCTCACTCGATTACGTGTTCAAACTTCGTATATGTGGAAAGGA